TATGATACGATGAGAGACTTTGTCGGGAATTTATCTCCTGGCAGAACGTACTTAGACATTTTAATGGATAGTAGCCAGACCAAACCTTAATTACTGAGAGGAGAAAATTTTATTAATAAAAATGCTTGATCGGACAGTATCACTATAAAACTAATATACTTACTTGATATACAATGGTTAATGACGGAGGATAAGCGACTCTATCAACTGCATCGGCAAAGATAAAAAAAATCATGATAAATAGGCCTAGTTTCCAATTAATACTAATTGGATCCAGTTTCCAAATCATGATATGTCCAGTATCCAATTCATGATAAATGGGCCCATATTACAATTATTTATATATAGGCCCAGTTTACAATTCAGGATAAACGAGTCCAGTTTCCAGTTTATAAAAAATGGAACCATATTCTAATTCCTAATAAATAGACACAGTGTCAAACTCGTTCTAGATGAGCCCAATTTCCAATTCATGAAATCTGTGTTTAATTCCAATTCGTGTAAAATAGGCCCCTTTCCTCTTTATGATAAATGGATCCAATTTGCAATTCACGATAAATGGGCCCTGCTACCAATATATGCTACATGAATCAAGTTTAAAATTCATAAAAAATGCGCCCTTTCCAAGTCATGATACATGGGCCCAGTTTCCAATCATGATACATGCGCCCAGTTTCCAATCATGATACATGGGCCCAGTTTCCAATCATGATACATGCGCCCAGTTTCCAATCATGATACATGGGCCCAGTTTCCAATCATGATACATGCGCCCAGTTTCCAATCATGATACATGGAACCAGTTTCCAATCATGATACATGCGCCCAGTTTCCAATCATGATACATGCGCCCAGTTTCCAATCATGATACATGGGCTCATTTTCCAAGTCATGATAGATGTGCCCAGTTTCCAATCATGATACATTCTTGATTTCCAATCATGATACATGCGCCCAGTTTCCAATCATGATACATGGGCCCAGTTTCCAATCATGATACATGCGCCCAGTTTCCAATCATGATACATGGAACCAGTTTCCAATCATGATACATGGGCTCATTTTCCAAGTCATGATAGATGTGCCCAGTTTCCAATCATGATACATGGGCCCAGTTTCCAAGACATGATGATTGTGCCCAGTTTCTAATAATGATACATGCGCCCAGTTTCCAATCATCATACATGGGCCCAGTTTCCAATCATGATACATGCGCCCAGTTTCCAATCATGATACATGGGCCCAGTTTCCAATCATGATACATGCGCCCAGTTTCAAATCATGATACATGGAACCAGTTTTCAATCATGATACATGCGCCCAGTTTCCAATCATGATACATGCGCCCAGTTTCCAATCATGATACATGGGCTCATTTTCCAAGTCATGATAGATGTGCCCAGTTTCCAATCATGATACATTCGCCCAGTTTCCAATCATGATACATGGGCCCAGTTTCCAATCATGATACATGCGCCCAGTTTCCAATCATGATACATGGAACCAGTTTCCAATCATGATACATGCGCCCAGTTTCAATCATGATACATGCGCCCAGTTTCCAATCATGATACATGGGCTCATTTTCCAAGTCATGATAGATGTGCCCAGTTTCCAATCATGATACATGGGCCCCAGTTTCCAAGACATGATGATTGTGCCCAGTTTCTAATAATGATACATGCGCCCAGTTTCCAATCATCATACATGGGCCCAGTTTCCAATCATGATACATGCGCCCAGTTTCCAATCATGATACATGGGCCCAGTTTCCAATCATGATACATGCGCCCAGTTTCCAATCATGATACATGGAACCAGTTTTCAATCATGATACATGCGCCCAGTTTCCAATCATGATACATGCGCCCAGTTTCCAATCATGATACATGGGCTCATTTTCCAAGTCATGATAGATGTGCCCAGTTTCCAATCATGATACATTCGCCCATGTTTCCAATCATGATACATGGGCCCAGTTTCCAATCATGATACATGCGCCCAGTTTCAATCATGATACATGGAACCAGTTTCCAATCATGATACATGCGCCCAGTTTCCAATCATGATACATGCGCCCAGTTTCCAATCATGATACATGGGCTCATTTTCCAAGTCATGATAGATGTGCCCAGTTTCCAATCATGATACATTCGCCCAGTTTCCAATCATGATACATGGGCCCAGTTTCCAATCATGATACATGCGCCCAGTTTCCAATCATGATACATGGGCCCAGTTTCCAATCATGATACATGCGCCCAGTTTCCAATCATGATACATGGAACCAGTTTTCAATCATGATACATGCGCCCAGTTTCCAATCATGATACATGCGCCCAGTTTCCAATCATGATACATGGGCTCATTTTCCAAGTCATGATAGATGTGCCCAGTTTCCAATCATGATACATTCGCCCAGTTTCCAATCATGATACATGGGCCCAGTTTCCAATCATGATACATGCGCCCAGTTTCCAATCATGATACATGGAACCAGTTTCAATCATGATACATGCGCCCAGTTTCCAATCATGATACATGCGCCCAGTTTCCAATCATGATACATGGGCTCATTTTCCAAGTCATGATACATGGGCCCAGTTTCCAATCATGATACATGGGCCCAGTTATCAAGACATGATAGATGCGCCCAGTTTCCAATCATGATACACGCGCCCAGTTTCCAATCATGATACATGCACCCAGTTTCCAATCATGATACATGGGCCCAGTTTCCAAGACATGATGATTGTGCCCAGTTTCTAATAATGATACATGCGCCCAGTTTCCAATCATCATACATGGGCCCAGTTTCCAATCATCATACATGCGCCCAGTTTCCAATCATGATACATGCGCCCAGTTTCCAATCATGATACATGCGCCCAGTTTCCAATCAAGATACATGGGCCCAGTTTCCAATCATGATACATGGGCTCATTTTCCAAGTCATGATAGATGCGCCCAGTTTCCAATCAT